TTATCTAACCTAGTTTTTTCCTTAAAATGGTTATCCATTGTGTTCGTACTGATTATCCGCCCGGTTTAAATTGATTATCCATTTCGTTTATACTGGTTATTCAATCTTTTTTTTTTGGAAAATCATTGCCAATGCGTTAATAAGTTGGTTATCCATCTTATTAAACTGGATATCCACCCTATTTCTGTACATCAGAATTTGATTATTTTTAAGCCCGAAAAAAATATTTCATATGGATCTTATGGAACAAAATTTACAAATTATAAGAAGATTGAGAAAAAAATACAATAAGGACTAGTAATGTAAAAAATAGGAGGGAAAACATAATGCTTCCGGGTGCACCCAATAAATTGTCCTATTTTCATCATGTATTAATATATATATATATATATATATATATTTGTCTAAAGGTTGTGCATCTTTTTAAAATGTTAGACAATTAACATAATAAACTCGTGATTTTTCACTCAGATTATTAATCTAACTCTGCAGGGAATCCAAACCTCAACCTTTTTGAGAAGTAAAGCTTACTTGCCCCTAAAACACAACCTCATCATATTTAAACATGGTGAATGTTGTTTTTTTTTCTTTTTTTGGGTCCAAAATGGGAAAATAGATTATCAATTAATCACTACCACTCCACAGAGTGGAAAAATAAAACTAGAGTCTCCTTTGAAAATCCAACAAGATATTTTTTTGTTGGGTACAACATCCTAGGGATTCAAGATTTTTAAGAAATTATTAAGAGCTCTCCTGATTAAACTAAACTAATCTGTCCAAAGTCTTAAATTATTAAATCCTCATAAAATATCTCTTGAATTATTATTGCCTGCCCAAGGCAAAGATCTTCGAGCTCATGAGAAACGCCTGGTCCGTGGTCGGTGTGAATTAAGAATGTGTTTATGGACTATGGCCTACGGTATGGACCATTGTTGGTTTGCAACCTTTAGCTCAAGGGGCCGCACGTTGTGCAGCGAAAGGGGAGTAGTGGCCCAGTATTTTCTCATAAGTTATTGGTAAGATAAAATACAATAGTTCCAAGAAATTACGGGCTTATATGGCCAACATTTTGTTTTAGTTTTTGTTTTGGTTTTTGATTTGGATTTGAGATGTAATTTAAAATGTAGTTTGAGATAAAATTTAAAAAGTTATTTGTGTGATATTTTATATAAACTAATAATATTTTTAGACCACTATCGGACCACCTGGACTGGCCGACCAGATTCCGACCAAATTCCGGCCGGCGGTGGTCCGGCGGTGGGCGGTTCGGTGGCTGCGGGTGGTGGTGGAGATGGTCCCGTGGTGGCGGATGAAAATTGTGTAAAATTAATTTTTGGACTATTTTTTAAAAGGTAAATTAAAAATTTATTTGTATAGTATTAGAATTTGTGTTTTAGAGGTGTTTTAAGAGGTAAAATGAGACAAAAATGCAAGTGTTGGGCAAACAAGCCCTACAATTCTTTCTCAACAATACTGCAAGTGGTAGGAAATGAAAGCCAATTTAACACTAATATGAGTTTTGTAAAAGAAATTCTTTGAGATGATACAGTACTTTGATACAACATGTCATATAATGCTATAAGTTCAGTCAATTCTTTATATATAATCTGAATAGATTGAACCATCAAACTGAAGTCTAATTTTGAACTCTAGTTTGAAGTGAAAGCATTCCTCAGCAAAGGAGCCAAGAGGCCTAAACATCTTGCCAGAGTTTCAGCATCACAAAGTGCAAATATCTCCCTCATGTACGCAGGACATTCCTGTCATAAACCATTAACTGTCAAATGAAAATAACTCAGAAAATTTACACTAAGTCAGCATACTAAAGAGAAATTGATTGTATTGTCAAAGTTGAACAATCTAAATTGATGACAAAGCGGAGCTTGAAGCCAATTCAACAGTATGCCTAATTTCTGCTCCTAACATATCAAAGGCAACATGAGAGCTTTATTTGACAGCCACAGAGCAATGAACTAACGTAAATGTTCTCATTATATAGTCTTAAAGGGGAAAATAAGCACTTGAGAGTAAGTCGACCAGCATAATTTCGAGCATATGAGCATATGTGACTTAGTAGGAACTTTCAAACCCTAGAGATACCAAGGAATAGAGAATTAGATACCAAGGAATAGAGAATTTACAAAGGAAGACAGAGATTCACTTCAGAGTTTAGATAGAAACAAATTAGAGATGTAGAGCACATTGAAGGCAAGGTATGATTCTCTATTTAACATCCACTCGTGATGAAAACTAATAAATCGAATGTCCTGATTGCATTTTCAGAGGCAAAAAACCAAACACTTTACATGTTGAAAATTTTAAACTAACCGAAAGCCTTAGGAAAACATAATCTAAAAGCTGAAAGGTTCATATTTTTGTCAAGTTCACATAACACTCGTTCAGACTTAAAATCAAACACATAACATGGGGGTAATAAACAAGCCCAGAACATAAACCATCTTAATACTGTTTTACAATCTGTGTCAACCCACTCTAATATTAAGCAAACACCCGCTGTAATTTTACTTTTAACCTTCAGTCTATTTTCTTCCAAACAAGAAGATGATGTTTCCCAGAAAAAAAAACTCATAAAGCTCAGCCGAAAAATGACATCCCTTCTAATAATCAATTAATGACTTCAAATTTCACAAAGTCACATGCAAATCATTTCAACTAAAGCCCATAAAAAGAAAAAGAGGGTCAACGACAGATCTGTTACTTATTGATCATCAACCCTGAAGAATGATCTCTTTCCGACATTTCCGTTCAACGCAGTCTACCTAATTACAGTTAAAATTTCCAAATTTGGGAGAATCCCTCGCATCTATAATTTAGGGGAACACCGTACCTTCTCCCAATTCCTTGAGTCACGTTCAAATGAACGTTTTGAAACATGATTTCAGAAATCAATCAGAAATTGGGGGTTTAGAGATTGATTTAGATGATTGGAGTCACAAACCTGCAAAAGAAATCAAGAAGATGATGGGGGACATGACGATGTGCTTTGAAAGAGAAGAGACGGAGAGTATGGGTGAAAAGGACCCATAGCGCACTTCACAACTTTTAAACGTCTGACACGTGTACGGAGAGTGACCGACCACCGTACCTAAAAAGGTCTATGGCCGGTCGAATTCCCCCTTTATACATTGTAGAAAAATTGGGGGTTTAGACATTGATTTAGATGATTGGAGTCACAAAGCTGCAAAAGAAATTAAGAAGATGATGGCGAACATGACGATGTGCTTTGAAAGAGAAGAGACGGAGAGTATGGGTGAAAAGGACCCATAGCACACTTCATAACTTTTAGGCGTCTAATACGTGTACGGAGAGTGACCGACCACCGTACCTAAACAGGTCCATGGCCGGTCAAACTCCCCCTTTATATATTGTAGAGAAATTGGGGGTTTAGAGATTGATTTAGATGATTGGAGTCACAAAACTGCAAAAGAAATTAAGAAGATGATGGCGTACATGACGATGTGCTTTGAAAGAGAAGAGACAGAGAGTATGGGTGAAAAGGACCCATAGCGCACTTCACAACTTTTAGGCGTCTGACACGTGTACGGAGAGTGACCGACCACTGTACCTAAACAGGTCCATGGCTGGTCGAACTCTCCCTTTATATATTGTAGAGAAATTGGGGGTTTAGAGATTGATTTAGATTATTGGAGTCACAAAGCTGCAAAAGAAATTAAGAAGATGATGGCGGAAATGACGATGTGCTTTGAAAGAGAAGAGACAGAGAGTATGGGTGAAAAGAACCCATAGCGCACTTCACAACTTTTAGGCGTCTGACACGTGTACGGAGAGTGACCGACCACCGTACCTAAACAGGTCCATGATCCGTCGAACTCCCCCTTTATATATTGTAGATATGTAAATACTGTAAGGTGTTGTAAGCGGCTACATATTACAGACTATAGGGCTGGCAATCTCTGACACGACTCAGAATTTTGACACGAACCCGACACAAAATGACCCGACACGAACAAGACACGCATATTAAATAGGCCGGGTTAGGGTTGGAAATTTAAAACCGTTTAATATACGGGTCGGATTAGGGTCAACCCGACGGGTTACCCGTGTTACCCGCGAACATGTAAATTTTGTATACTGTAGAGATAATTTAGAAATTTCACTGCCATCCCAACCCTAATTTCAGCTCATATATATACTCTTTATTCTTCATCCGGCACAAATTTTCCATTTCCCTTTAGGGTTTCCGTCCTCCTGGCAGTGGCGGCTCCGATTTTCTCCAACTCCAATTCCTAGTCGTAGTTCAGCTCCCTCAACTTCTGCCGATTCCCCTCCACTCTGATTCTCCTCCACTTTGACCTTGAAACCTCTCCTACCGTCTATCACAAATTGGTGTTCCCCGCTCATCAATCATCATCTTCACGACGGTCTCCTCCTCCTCCTCCTTCTTCGCGTCATCTTCATGGTGTTCCCTATCATCAATCATCAACCTCGCATCAACGGCAGCTCGTTGTTGCTTCAATTCAGCTCCTCAAGGCCACCGAATCAGGTATGTCTCACCCTCCTCCTCCTCCTCCTCCTTCTTCTTCTTCTTCTTGTTCTCCTTTTTCTTCTATCATTCTCTCCAAAGTCACCTTATCGGTTGGACTTTTATTTGTAAATTTCAAGAAAAGAAAGAAAGCTTAACTATGGGTCGAATTTGTAGTTGGTATAGTGAGCCCGGTTTGAAGCTTTTAACTTTTAAGGGATAGAATTAAGATTTAGTTTAGCCCTGCATGTTAATCTTTAGTTGATTTAGTTAATCTTTAGTTGATTTGCTTTGTTAATTATCCTGTCATTCATTCAAATTCGACCCACAGTATGCACCTTGTCCAAAGTTACTGAGTTAGTTACTTTGGTTCTGATATTATGTTCTGTTTTTTTTTTTTTTTTGGCTTCTAAGTGCTAACCTTGTGCTTCTCTGTTTGTTCTGAAGTTGGGTCAACTACTGAACTTTTTGTCTGTTTGTCTCTGGTTTTCTAGGAATGGAACCAATTGACGAAGAAGCTGAATTTGATATTGGTTTTGAGGTTAACGGCAGTGAGACCGATGTTGCTGATGATGTTGATGTTTCAATCAATGGTGGAACTGACACAACTGGCACACAAGAAGGTGATGAAGCATCTCCTGCAAACAAAGGGGTGCGAAAGAAAAGAAGGTTAACATCTTCAGTTTGGTATCATTTTCGAATTCTACCTCAGAAACCAAATGAAAAGTTTTGCTGTGAATGTAAAAAATGTGGTAAGAAATACTTGGCTAGAAGTGAAAATGGTACAGGTAATTTACTTCGCCATATTAAAAGTTGTGTGAAGATGACTACTACTGATATTGACAAGCCGTCGTCACACTATTCAAATATTAATTATCTACTTAATAAATTACTAGCAGTAAAGCAGAAAGCAGGGTCGATCCCACAGAGAAGGTTACCAAGTACCGATTAAAATTATTTCTTATTATTATTTAAATTAACAATTTATCAATTAAAACTAATCTAAACCTAAAACTATCAATTGTAATCATTTAAAGATATAAATAAGTAAAAGAAAAACCTATGATAAAGGGTTCACCAACCGACTATTCAGTTTAACTCAACCTATACTTATGTGACTTTGGACTTTCATTAATCTCACAACAATTCACCTATTTAAGAACTATTCACTGTTGTGATATAATTCTCTTACTCAAACTAACCCTATGACTATTGTCGTGACTATAGGATTTAATTAAAGTACATTAAGAACCCTAGAATCTATAACTATAAAGACGGTGTTCCTACTTTTGTGGCCCACTATCTAAGTTTAATATTCCCACGAACTAGTGCTAACCTTCAACCAACGTTCCTTCAGTTAAACACCTTTAAAGCATGCAAGTGATGATCAAATACTCACATGGAATAAAAACAAGAATATTAAATATCAACTAATGAAAAAAATCGCAATCATGAATTAAATTAAATTAAATAGTACAGCGGCTACATCCAAAACCCTAGATTAAATAATTTAGTTACACATCATCTCAAAAATAAATAAAACAATGAAACCCGGGAGAAAGTCAGCCGAAAGTTGAGTCTGAGGTTGATGCGTTGCTGCTTGCTTCCTCCGTTGATGATGATGTGCATAAAGGATGATGGAGGCGTGAGTTTTTGAGTTGGGGGGAGGGCTGCGTGGGGTTTTTGTGATTCTTTTTGGTGCGTGGAGGTGGGGAGGAAGGTGATGAGGCGTAGATGGTGATGGAGGCGGCGGAGTTGGTTGAAAAAAATAAAACCCTAATCCTCCTTTTATAGGCTTTTGTCAAACCCTATTTCTTCAGGTTTAAGAAAGTTATTTTTTTTCAAGCCAATTTAAATTAAAACTCCTCCAACTCTTCAAGTGCTTTAGTTTCTTCCTTATCAATTTAACAAATCTTCAATTCTCCCTTTGAGTTGTTTTTTCTTTTCAATTTAGTCTAAAATCTCAACAATTCTTCCATTTGAGTACAAAACCTACAAATAAAGATAAAATCATATAAATAGCATATTTGTACTCAAAATATATTGCAAAAAATCACAAATTAGTGATATAATAAATAGGTAAAATATAAGCATATCAAATACCCCCAAACTTGAATTATTGCTTGTCCTCAAGCATGCCCAAGAATTAAAACAAACAAAAACAGTTAATTATTTAATTTTGGCGGCCTTAGAGATTCAATATCATATAACACACAGATCTTGACTACCTCTAGTATGGACTACCTAACAAAATGCAAACCATATGCACTTTTAGCCCCCACGCTTGTGTGTGTATGCGATCCGTTTCTTAGGAACATCGCTTTACATTTAACATAGAAAACAAAAGATCTACTGCAAATATGCCATTTTACTTTAACAACAGACTCACATTTCATACCATATTTCAATGCAATGGACCACCAAACATATTATGAACTAGAAGGACTTATCTCACAGACAACATATATGTTTTACTAACCAGCTGTGACAATTGGATGTAGGCATCATCATCTTGTTCTTCTGGTAGTAATAATGAGCATCGAAGAGAAACTGAAAGGAGTCATACTTCAACTTTAATGATGGTAAGTAAGTGTATTATATGTTTTTCTATTCTCATGTCATAATCTGATTTTTATTTTATTTTTGATTTATTCTGATTTTATTCACTGTTTACAGGAATTTGATGAATTTGAGAGTGCTGAGTTTGATTCAAGTGGCAAACAAACTCAGCTAGAGATGTATTTAGCGGACCCAAAGCATAACAGGACCGATAAAATCAATGTGCTTGGTTTTTGGAGATCCCAACAATATCAGTATCTCGATCTTGCTAGGCTTGCTAGGGACATCCTTTGTGTTCTCGTATCAACCGTTGCATCCGAGTCCGCTTTTAGCCTTGGAGGAAGAATTCTAGATCAATACCGTAGCTCAATGACTCTGGATATTGTCGACGCCTTGATATGCTCTCGAGATTGGTTATTTGGGGACAAAGGTGAAGCGTTTGCATTTTGGTTTATTAATCTCATATGTAAATTTAAAATATCTATTGCATATGTTTTTCCCTCTAAACAGAATTGGATGAATTAAACTTGGAAGAGTTGACCAGAGACATAATGAACTTGAATATCAACAATGGTGGTGGTGTTCCATTGATTGAAGGAGGAAGTACTAATACAACTTGATAATATGTTTGGTAAGTTTGTTATCATTGGTTTTTGATTAATGAAATCTGACATCTGAAGTGACTTGTGTTATTCAAGTTAGAATTGAATTCTGAAGTTTGGATGCTGATCATAAATTCATAATGCATTTTTCTGCTGCTGAATGTCGATCATGATGCATTTTTTTACATATTTCTACAACTCTTTTGCATTTCCTGCAACTTTTCTGCATTTTTTACAACTTCTCTGCAACTGAATGTTGATAATAATGCATCTTTCTGCATTTTTCTGCAACTTTCTGCATTTTTTGCAATTTTGCTGCAACCCAATGTTGATCATGATGCATCTTTTTGTGTTTTTTCTGCAACTTTTTGCATATGAATGCTGATTTTTCTGCAAGTTTCTGCATTTTTCTGCAACTTGCTGCAATTAAATGCTGGTTTTTTCTACATTTTTCTGGAGCTTTCAACTGTTGAGTGTTCTGCTCTGATCACAATGTATGTTTCTGCATTTTTCTTGTTGATTAAATGATAGATTTTTGGTTAGCTTTGTGCCTTTGCCTTCTACTCGTAGTAGTTCAGATTTCAGAAATCTTTTTCATTTGAGTTGACGAGGCTGTTTTTTGCTTGCAGCTCAACTGCTGCCTGTTTCTAAGAGCTGAGATTCGAGGAGTTGATGTGGGAAACCTCAAGATTCAAGTTTCTACTGATATTGAAGCTCAAGCTCCCCTCTCGCGCTTATTGTCTTAGATTTGTGTTGTAATATGAATGTTGAATTACTGGATATTTAGTTATTCCGATCAAGGTTGTTGTTATTTGGTAATGTGGAGTTTAAGTGGTAATTTGCCATCTGACAATTTGAAGTTTAAGATTTGTAATCTGTGATTTGGTTAAAATTTCTGAATTTTCTGTTTTTCTAATTTTCTGAAACAGGTTGCCATCTGTGATTTGGTTAAACTATTATTCAAACTTTCTGTTTTTCTATTTTTTTTTTCCTGAATTTGTTAGCAGGTCGGGTCATGGGTGACCTGATTATTTCAGGTCAGGTTAGAGTTGTAAAAATCAACCTGTATATTTATACAGGTCAGGTCCGGGTTGGCTATAAATTATACGGGTTCGGGTCCAACCCGACACGCCAACCCGGACCCGATACGAATTGCCAGCCCTGACAGACTAGTTTTTACTCTCTCTAATTTTCTGTTTCAAAATCATTGGTCTAATTTAAATTTTCACTTTTAATACAATTCGAATTAAAAATATAAATATAAATTGGACAATTATTTCAAGACAGAAAACTCTAAATTCAAATCGACTTTATTGAGAGTGAAAATACTTTTTTCATTTATTAGAAAGTCTCGTGCAAGACTAAAATAAGACAAAGACTAATTTTAAGAGTAGAATTGAGTAATGATAAGGAGCTTACCTAAATAAATCACCCTTTCGTCTCACCTTCACCTTATGTGTCTTGTCAACTTGTAGATGTGTAACTACAGCTTATGTCAACAGGACCTATGTCTGAATATTCAAATGCAGTTTTGGCCTGTCGAACTACTCTCTCAATAGGATGTAACTCTTTACTTTTGATGAAACATATTCTTCATATAATTTCAACTGCTAACAAAATTATTATTTAATGATAAGACTAAAAAGGTATTCATGTCCATTATAAGTGTGAGAATCTAAAAGAATGTTTGATATTCTACCCAAAAAAAAGGAAGAGAAAAATAATGTTTAAGGATATGTTTGCTATGAAAATGATGCATTGGAAATGTAAGGGGTTAAAAACCATTTACTAATATGCGGGTTGGACCAATAATTTGGCCAACCTGAGATTGCTTTCAATTTCAAATTTGCAAGGGACTAAAAGCGCAAATTGTGCATATTTCATCCCGGGCCTAGAAGTTTGAAAATTTGAAAAAGACAACGTTCATCTGTGAGTAACGGAATCGAATCGGAACGAAATCAACGGCCTCTCAAAGGGGAACTTTCTTTCTTTGAATCCAATCTCTCAATTCTCTGACCTAAAAAGATCCCAAAAGCAAGTCATCAATTTCTTCTTTTTTTTTTTTTTTGGCTCTTTACCTTTGCATTCGATTACCACTGAACCCACTTTTTTCCCAATTTCAAACTGTTTCTTTATCCATTCTTGCAAAATATATCAATGGAAGACAATGAATGGAGAGACCCACTTCTCATAACTGACGTTTGTACTCAACTAGAACAACATCAAGAACTCAAGTTTCAAGGTTTGGTTTCTGAGTAGTATTAATCTATTACCGTGTGCTATGTTATCTAATTTGATGTTTCTTTAATCACGGATTTGGGGATTTTGCAGATCCTTTAACCCAATCGTACAGCTCGAGAAACTCAATGATGGTTGACCATGATGAATATAGCCCTAATTTTTCTGAAGGTAATGTTTCCAGAGATTTTGTCATATGTCTGCACCTGTTTGATGAAATGCCTGTTAATGATTTGAGTAGTTTTCTTCTTTGGACGAACTATGCATCCAAGAATACATAATAGTTAAAAGAAATTGAGATTTTGGATTCGATTTGTTATTGTAGATAATTCCTGGAGAAATGGTAGCTTAGGAGACATTCACGAAGAGAATCCGGGTCGCCCTGCTGGTGAAAATGTAATCGATGGTATGAATGATTGAGATAATTGATATCGATTAGGTTTTCTAACTGTTCAATTCTTTTGACCTGAGATTTTTGTTCTTTAGGGCGGAAAATGTTGGGCTTTTCGCTAACATCGCCAGATTTGGTCATATGTGCGGGTTCACCTGATATCCCTCGCCAAAGCTTTGCTGATTCACCTCAGTTCATGAAGGGTGCTTCCACTGTGGTTTCCCTGGAAAATGGAATTAATGGTTCTGAAAATGAGACCCCAAAAGTTGCTGAACCTTCATCGTTTCCACAAGGGTGTAAAGATGGAAATGTGTCTCCAGAAGCTGATTTTGAACTTCCCCCTCCTCCAATATCTGAAGAAATGTCACCGCAACATTCGACACCTGTGATGAGTATCAATGTTGGATCAAATGATGAAATTTTCTCTTCTCGCGGGGTAATATTCTTGGAGGATAAATACTTCGAAGGGGGTGATATCACAAGGACTGAGAGTGCAGTTGGGAATGGTGAAGATATTAAACTTTACCAAAGTGCCCGGTTTGGAAGTTTCACATATACTTTTCATGATATAAGGCCTGGGCTGTACAATGTGGATTTGCATTTCGCTGAAATTGTGTTCACCAATGGCCCTTCGGGAATGAGAGTGTTTGATGTTTTTATACAAGAACAAAAGGTACAGATATTGTAGTTGAGAAAGGATGGTAATGGGGTTTAAGAAAAATTAAGATCTTTTTTCCTTTTGAATTTTAGGCACTCAAACACTGCTATTGAATTTTGGTTAGGTAATTTCCAGCTTGGACATCTATGCACGTGTTGGTGGTAACCGACCACTGGTTGTATCTAACATCAAAACAAAAGTTGAGGGTGAAGAAGGATTGTCCATCAGGATGGAGGGACTTGTAGGAAAACCTATACTTTGTGGGATCTCTTTGAAGAAGGATCTCTCTATTGGTGAGTTAGAAAATGCTTTCCACCACTTCTTCGGATCTTCATGTCAAACTAGTTCCTTCCTGATAATTGTATTGTCTGGCTTTAATATCAGGCGGTGGAGAAGGTGATCTGCTCACTGCAATGGGAATCTCTCACTTGGATCAACGTGAATCTCTGAAAGTACTAGTTAAACCTAGATAGTTCCAGAAGTAAAATTAGTTTGCTGATGGAGACTGGACTTGTTATAATTATCCCGATGATCATTGTGCAGGATTTCTGTCCGAGCAGTTCAGACCAAGAGTTCGGTGACCTCCGAATTCAATTTGAAAGCCAAGCGAAAGAGCTTCAAGAAACAAAGCAAGCACTGCTCTCACTTCGTAAAGAGAATGAATTAAAGCACCAGGAGTGTCAGGAAGCATGGAGATCATTGAAAGAGCTTCAAAATGAACTCATGAGGAAGTCCATGCATGTTGGATCACTGGGTAAACAACCACCATATCTCATTGTCGTGATACATGCAATTTTTTGGTTATATTGTAAATGAAAGAGACAAATTGTGTCTTCCAATTATTATTCTGCTTGTCTACCAGAAAACTATTTGTATTGAAACAGATAGAAACTAGATGGTGAGCTTGTTAGTCTGCACGCTCAAATGTGTTTCACAAAATCACATCTAAATGTTTGTCGTTTTTCCCACTAGGTCACAACATATTTTAAAAACTAACTCCTGAGATATGTTGAAATACTTAGTATATAAAATAATGAATATTTCAGTTGAAGGCCGGAAGTTTCTTTCTATGATTGTCAAATATTGTTTAGATTTTGTTAGAACTAAAATACTGTAATCTCAGTTATTACTGAGCTTCACGTTCACAAAGATTTGCACATTTTGTGAACACTCTGGCTTGTTTTCTGTAAATAGAAGGTCTTCTGTATAGTTTGGATCTTTACTGAATGTTGTTGGTTGTTTTTTCCGTGCAGCTTTTGCCATCGAAGGACAAGTGAAAGAAAAGAGTAGATGGTTTACAACATTGAGAGACATGACCAGAAAGTTAAAGGTCAAAACTCACTCTTGCTTACATGAATACATGCCTTCACATCAATAAATGTTTTCTCATTTTACCTGAACTTTTCTCTTTACAGCTTCTAAAGATGGAGCAAATCGAAATTGCAGAAGAGGCTACATCATTCAAGTCAGACATGAATGACATAGTCTCCCTGATTCAATCCAAAAGTAATTTGCCTTAAGCATCTGACTTGTGCTTACTTCCATTAGTTTCCTTCTCATATTTATGCTTCTTTGTTCTATACAGTGGAAGAACGCTCTGAATGTTATGAGGATCTCAAGGCTAGATTTATTAAAAGTTCCAAGGAACGTAAAGAACTTTATAACAAAGTCCTGGAGTTGAAAGGTTAGCCCTTGAAATTTGTAGAAGTACGATTGTTTCTATATATAATGGGATCTCATAGTCCGTAATGTTGCATTTTCTAGGGAATATTCGGGTCTTTTGTCGGTGTAGGCCTTTAAATAGTGCAGAGGTTGCTTTAGGAGCTTCCATGGCAATAGATTTTGAAGCTGCCGAGGAGGGAGAGCTTACAGTATTTTCTAATGGGATGTCTAAGAAAACCTTTAAGTTCGATGCTGTTTTTAGCCCACAGGCAAGCCAAGGTAGCTAATTAGTTATTGTGCTTTTGCTAATGAGCTAATAGTTTTTCCTTGTAGTGATGGGAACTGAAACTTCATGGTGTATGTTTAAACAGATGATGTGTTTGATGACACAGCACCAGTAGCAACATCTGTTTTGGATGGATATAATGTTTGCATATTTGCATACGGCCAAACTGGAACAGGAAAAACTTTTACCATGGAAGGTACAGATGATGCACGTGGTGTAAATTACAGGACACTTGAGGCATTATTTCACATCATTGAAGAGCGACGAAGCACTTTTAGATATGAAATATCAGTGAGTGTGCTTGAGGTATATAATGAGCAAATACGGGATTTACTAGTGTCTGATTCAGGAGTTGGGGCAAAGAGGTAATTTCAGATACTCAGAATTTTACATTTTACAGTTTTAGAAAAATGCAATGCTTCAATAATTCATGTTTTCTTGAGCATTTCTTCTTTATGATGTCTTGCATGAAAACCAAAGAGAGAAAATATTTAAAATGAAGGTTTAATTCGTTGCTTAGGTTGGAAATAAAGCAAGTAGGTGACGGGATGCATCCAGTTCCAGGATTGTTTGAAGCTCAGGTGAAAACTATGAAAGAGGCATGGGAAATCCTACGAACCGGCAGCAATGGACGAGCTGTTGGATCAACCAGTGCAAATGAGCACAGCAGTCGGTCACATTGGTCAGATTTTTATATGTGTTCTACATTTAAATCTAATACATCAAAGAGTAGTTTTTGTTGCTAATACTGAATGTTATTTTTGTGATCAGCCTACATTGTGTCATGGTGAAAGGAGAGAATTTATTGAATGGAGAATGCACTAGAAGCAAGTTATGGCTAATTGATCTGGCTGGGAGTGAAAGAATTGCCAAAACTGAAGTGCAGGGTGAAAGGCTAAGGGAGACTCAGAATATCAATAAATCACTCTCGGCACTTGGCGATGTCATATCCGCCCTTGCAACTAAGAGTCCACATATACCTTTCAGGAACTCCAAGCTTACTCACTTGCTTCAAGATTCTCTCGGTATCTCATCCATTTTGTTGTTAATATACATGGTAACCAATCAAATGAACTCCACTGATTGTGTGCTTCTAATTATAGGGGGAGATTCAAAGACATTGATGTTCGTACAGATAAGTCCGAATGAGAATGACCTAAGTGAGACTCTCTGTTCACTAAATTTTGCTAGCAGAGTCCGAGGGATAGAGTTGGGCCCTGCAAAGAAGCAAGTTGAAAACAATGAGCTGTTACGATGCAGACAAATGGTGCATACCGAAACCTCCTTCCATAAAATCACCTATCTTGTGTTGTTTCCGTAAACTATATTCGCTGAAAGTGAATGATTTTGGTGTTTTTAGGTTGAAGACCAAAATCACCTATCTTGTGTTGTTTCCGTAAACTATATTCGCTGAAAGTGAATGATTTTGGTGTTTTTAGGTTGAAAAGACCAAGCTAGATATGAAGAACAAAGATTTCCAAATTAAGAAGCTAGAGGATACTGTTCAGGGCCTAGACATCAAGATGAAAGAGAAAGACTTGAAAAACAAAAATCTGCAAGAGAAGGTATGGCTCCTGAATTTTCTTGTTTCTGTTGGAAAGTAGTACAACACTGTTTTTGCTTATAGCATTAATAAGATCATGAAATCATATTTGAAAATGTCGGCATCAAACTTGTATTCATAAGCTTAAGTTCTACTGTAGATTAAAGAATTGGAATCACAGCTTCTAGTAGAGAGAAAGCTTGCAAGGCAGCATGTTGACAATAAAATTGCAGAACAGCACCAGGAAATGAAACAGCAGCAAGATCAACACTCTCTACTTATCAGGCCTCCACTTGCCACCAAGACAAATAGTTATCTCAGAACAGTTTGTGATACAAAAGATCATCAAGCAAATGTCCCTTTCCCAGTCCTTGAGTACAACTCAAAACATCATTCAGATGGCTTCACTAAACAGAATGAGCTAGGGATGGAGAAAGAAAACAAGCCTGCGATAACAGATCTGCATCCACTGCCAAGGCGGACAGGCAGAGCTTCTATGTTGCCAGGTCCACAGCAAATGAAGGCACAACTTCCACGACGTAGTTCCCTAATACCGTTGCCCAGTTTACGTGCAGCTTCAACACTTTTGCCACTGGCACCAGTACAACCTAACATGATAGAGGATGATAACCCGGTTGAATCTGGTTTCCCACTTGAACCACCCACTCCATGGGATAGTCCTAAAGAACAGAAAATGGGAGCTAAGAGGCTGACCCATATATGGAGAAAAAGCATCCAAAGAAAAATGCAGCTGAAGTCACCAATGCAACAGCCCTTACGACGAGTTGGTATAAATGTGGGCATGGAGAAAGTCAGAGTCTCGATTGGAAGCCGGGGGAGGATGGCTCAGAGAGTGTTAACTAATGCTAGAAGAGCAGTAAAAGACACTCAACAAAATCCGAGTAAGAGAGAAAAGGAAAGAGGATGGAATATGGGCACTGCAACAAGAGTTGTATCTTGAAACATGGAAATGCTAATCTTTTGGGGTTTCTTCGTAGCTACCTGAATATCTATCTGTACATGTGATGACATCTCATCTGACTACGTGAATTGGACTCAACAAACAATCGGAAATGAGAAATTGATTCGTTGTTTGTTCCATAGTGTATCTTTAGAAATCTATTGCCACAAGGTAATGCAATTACTCTCTTCCGTAGCAGAGAATAATCCACAATTTCAAGGGTTACTACTATCCTTCTATTATTGGGTAAACAGTGGACTATTTTCTAGGAACAAGTACTTACAAACTTCATAGCTGAAACAATTTATGTTGGCTCTGGACTTACAAAACTTCATAGAGGGTTTTGCTATTGTTGGTATAGAGAAAGATGGTTTCCACTAAAAGCAATAAACGTCAATAATCTGCAGGAAACTCTATACAATATCTACTATCAAATTTATACAGATTCCGCATGTTACAGTATTTTTCAAAATTGAATTCCTCTATGACCTATACATATTGGCGCATCCCAGAACAGTTGTCCTACCATCTAAATCTGAACTAAACAGTTAAACTGGCGCCTTCTATAGTTCTATTATCTCCACACTTTATTGCTTAAAGAGGCTATCTTGTTTCCAAAAAATGATGGTGAGAGAGTAAGACCAGAGGCTACCTCTGGAGTTTCTTCTTCAACCTAGATAAAAAACAACAGAAAAAGCCAGTGAATACTCTAGTTGTATAAAGAAAGAGGAACCAAAGAAAGAAGGGCAAAATGACATACGAGGACAATCCTACAGCTTCTAGCACTCTTCGCCATGAATTACTTTCTTGTGCAAGGGGTTCAGAAAGTAGGGGGGCCATTCTATTATCCATAGAGGGGCCCTCTTCTTGTACAAATTTGACGGACTCCGATAATCGGTTCAATAGATTCAGCAGAGCAATTACTTCATTTCTTTGCAACTGCAACTGTTAACCAAGAAAGTGACAGGAGCAATAAATTAGATAATGATATCAGTAAATAGTTCGACCAATGATAAGTTGGGCGGAATTAGATTTAAACTTTTGGCGCAAGCTGAAGGGTATCGGAGACTCACAGGTTGGTTAGCATGGCTGTTGCCGTCAACAGAAAAGAGAATCTTTAGAGCAGTGCCCAGGCCAAGCACCTGAAGTTTTCCCCACAAACGACATTTTTCGCACCCAACACAATCCATCATGGCACTGCAAAATGCACAATGATTCTTAGACTTGAGGTTCCCATATTACAGGCAAAATTGTTAGGAAAACAAGACAAGGCAAATGCCTATGCAGCTCTTAGAAATATCCACATATATAGACAAAAACTAAAAAAAAATGTTCCTCAGTGCAAATGTTTTTAGCAAGCATGAGGATTAGCAAAGAAAGAGTTTAAATCATGTATAATCGACTCATCGGCAGATAAGTCAGGCACCAATCCATATTCCAATTGCAAAGAAGGGCGGCTGTCCAAACCAATGACCAAGGAAGACAGAGAACAGTGAATACAGACCTAATGTTTCTGAACTGCTTCTGAATCTGCTGCTTCAGTTCAGGTCCACTTTGGCCTTGCCACATCTTAGCTTCATCGAAGGGAAGTGGACAGGCAGCTTGCAGTTTTGGATTATAAAGTAGTTGACGCATCAAGGACTGTGCTTTCAGATCCTCAACAGGATTGCCAGTGTCATATTCAGCCTGCTCCAGATATTTTGTTGCCTGTACAATATGCAAAAGGAGATCATAACATCAGGAATCGAAATCCATACAGGAGGAGTCGGTGAAAGATGTGAGATGCTTCAAATTCTTACCTTTGTCACAGCTCGGAGAACAAAGAGAAATGTGAAGTACAAATTTCTGACGCGGTCTGGATATCTTAGAACACGATCATACATCAAGTCAAGATTCTTGCCCCACTGAAACAGAAAAGCAAATGAGCCAGATCATGATATGTAAGCAATGGTGCTCATCATTAATACCCAGATAATGTATTCAGCTGTAATCAATTCTGTAGTGGTGCTCATATTAGTAATAAAAGAAGATAGGTACACCAACGCATCTTGAGATCATGGTAAGGGCATACCAGGTTCTTTGTCTCATCAAGCAGGTAGTCAGAAGCTATGTGAATGGAAATTGAAGCGTGAAGTCCTGATATTAACTTGTACAGGACCTTTTTTTCTGGACAAAATTCTCCAGAAGTATCTGCACCAAGATATCCAACATAAATGATTCTGATTGTAAAGTAGGAACCTCATTTGATTTAAGAATATAGCAAAGTTAACACAGCTGCAGCTAGAAGAAAAGTAAGTTCTAACACGAGAGGGTTGCAACAACATCATATGTAACAACATCATCTACTAACTTAGTCAACAAGAAGAGTAAAATCCCTCATATGTTCAAACTCAGTAAGCAGAATTTTACTGCAGAGAAAACATTGGAACTGCTGAAATTGTTTTGAGGTACTAGGCACTTACATTTTGGACAATTTTCAGAGTAGATGGCATCCCAAATTCTTTTCGCAGATTCCCCAGTGTAACCAGTGTAACGTTCAGGATTCAGTAAGAGATTTACATATGTCATCTCACCTGCAAATCAAATCCAACTAATATGAATCAACAACTTAGGAAAAAATATAAGAAATATTATTTAAATCTTAAGCTATCTACTATCAGATAAGGCATAGTCTTTCATGTAAAACTTAATAAGACACGAGCAGTGCAATCGCCAAACATGATCCAAAAGGTAGGAGAAATAAATAGATAGAAATTAAAGGTCAATCAAGTGCACAAGTACACAACTGAGTTCAGAAAAGTGAATGCAAGCTAAATCAAACATACATTCCCACTTCATGCAATACAACAAAAGAAAGCTAATCTCCAGAATATGACTACTTATAAAGAAAGGGATTAAATTACTGTTATCAGTTTCGTCATCATTTGTCCATGGGTTATCAACTTCAGGCCACCCCCTAAAAACCTTAGTGTCCAGTGTACGATCAACAGCAGCCTCTGGTTTTCCTTCTTGACATTTCCAATCATCTGATGACAGACTGTATTGTGATGGTTTCTTGAAAAGCTCCGGGAATTCAGTCTCTGGGCATTCACATACGCTGCAATCACGCAACTTGCACATACCATCATCAGGCCAAAAAGGACAATCACACCACAACTTCACCTGGATCAAAAAGTTCCAACAAGATTTTGAAATCTGCCAATAAAGTCTAAAAAGCAAACAAGATGGCAAAAGTAACCAACAGAAATGATGTAACAACAACAATAACAACAACAACAATGGGTAGTCAGCCTTGATAATAACATTGTCAGCCTGATTAAACACATATCAGGTGTAGTTGCAGAATCCAGTTTCTAAGGTTCAAAAATGAAAAGGCAAAAAAGAACCTGATTGAAAATTGAATATGCAGGCATAACACTCATTCACCTAAACTATTAACAAATTCTTCTGATAAACCACTAAAATTCAATCTGAATACGAATATCTCTGAAGATTATTGCTTAACCAAAATTCCTTAATATGAAAATGCAAAGATTTAAACAAAGAAATGACACTAGGGAGTACCCAAATATAACCTATGCTCAATCTTAGAAAGTAGGCAGTTTAGCAATTTTATCCATGCCCACTAAGAGAAGATAAATCATAATCATTATAAAACACCAGTTGGAACACAAAAATATCCAGCTTTGCCCACTTATCATCAACAGATTAACATTGCGATTAACTTAGTTAAAAGAATTTGAATTTTAGGCTTAAATTTTTGTACCTCCTCTAAGCATTGGTTTCAAACACTCATATAGTTTGACATTTCTAGAAGTCCAAAGGACTCTACCCAGATGGCCTACTTAAATAACCAGTCTATTTAGCAACCAAAGCCAAATATTCCTTCACGAAGTATTATCTAAAAGAATGCCTGAAACTAACAGGGCCATTAGACATCTTGCTACTAGCCAATAAGAGCACCTACCTGCCATACCTTAGCCACCTTCTCCCTACAAACTACTCTAGTCATAGATGGCACAAATTCTCGATAGCAAAGAAAGAGGTTTCTGTAAATGAACCCACATAGAAATCACCTCGAATTACTTCAGGGAAAAGCACGTACGCTATAATGAAAATTGAGAAAACACAACCATTCGGGACTCTTTCAAATCATTATCCCCAAGGTTTTTGTTTCAAGTGTCATACCTTGAAGTATCTAAAAAAGGGAGTTCTGACAAGCTCTTGGAGTAAAGGATGCAAGACCGCACCATTTATACTGTCTACTGTCTCGTAGTCACAACAGCAGTCTTCAACCATCCCTGTATATTTTCTAGTGTCCTGAACCGGAATAAGAAGCAATAAGTTCTTGATAAAACTAGAAGTAACAAAAGAAGGGTATCCGCAATAGACCAAACAGAAACTACTAGAAATAACCGAAAAAGCTTTCGTAACTTGTGTCATACTGAAGGAAATTGTTAAACCAAACCGTAACGGATACGCTTTCACCTAACTACTACGGTCATCATGATGATAAGCGAGAAATCAAAACTAAATACCATATATGATCTGACAATGTGGGATTATCAGCAATTTCTGATAAAAACTGAATAGAGCAGATGATTATATAGTAAGAATTGGCCAAATTAACCACTTCCTCACCTCACTGTCCGATTCGACACCAAATTAAGTACAATTGAATCCCCATGTTTCACAAGAACAAACGTTACCTTTCCAATATTCATACAATAACATTTCACCAAAAACTAACGCAGTTTAACTAAAACCATAATCACACAGTATGATCAGACAGATAAAAGAACACCAACATAATTAAACAGAAATTCACTTTATCAAGAAAAAAGAAATTAAAAAGGAAAAGCACCTGAGGACAGAAACAAGAAGAATTCTGACTTTTCGAAAACTTCGATGAGGCAGCCAATGCAACTAAAACCACCAAAACAGCCCCAATTGCAGCCAAACCCCATCTTCTCTTTCCACCCTTCTTCTCCTCGGCGTATCTCCTCCGCTTCTTTAAATCCTCAGCTTCCACCATCACTGCAATGCATGCAGGAAACAATCCAAAACGGCAAATCCTTTTTTCCCTTTCCAAGGAATGGAAGAATCAAATCTTCCTTCTTTTCTAGAATTCCCACGGAACCCTCCAGAAATCCTTTATAGAAAAGGTTATGAGCTCACGGGCAGGTGAGAATATTCAACCCGAAATCACTCGCACATTTGATTTTGAACAAGGATTTGGACAACGCCCACAGTGTTGGATTCGGGCGGTGGATTTTAAGAAAAGACACGGGACTCAGTAGCGCGTGATAAATAGCCTCTGCATTTATTGACACGTGGCTTTTACGGGTGCGATAGTGTAGGAAACTTTGTCAGGTCGCGAGTGACAAGACACGGGGGTAAGTATTCAAAGGAGCATTAACGCGCCCCCATTTTCAGAGAAATGAAATGACGGTGTTTTAACCAATGGAATGGTTCCACATAGGATTGTTGGCCTTTAATCTGTCTGTACTTTTTAAACATCTCCTTAAGCCCAATAAGATTATTGGGTTGGGCTAATTAGAATTTATAGAAATGAAATATTGAATTAGACCATCTAATAATAATAATAATAATAATAATAACCCTCGTTATAACAAAAACCATTTTATATCCAAAATTCCAAGTGTCACTTTATTCATAAAAATTGCTCCATTTCAAATCACCAATAAATTAAAATAAAAAACTAAAATAAATCTATATAAAAATAATTTCACATCATAATTATCAGTTTAATATCTTCACAAACAAAACCCCACAATGTAAACATTTTTTTTTTTTTGGGTTAAAATGTAAATAGTTTTTCCCAAACATAAAAACCTCCCCGAGTAATCTCAATCTCAAACCTTAATTAAGCCTCCACAACCCTCTCCTAATTTGTCACCAATTCTCAAAAGATTTGAGAATTAAGATCTGATAGAAAAGAGAGAATTGGCAATGCAAAAGGACAACATGAAGACGTTGGCAAAACTTATTTGATTCCGGTGCTAGAACACAATAACGACGTGGAATCCATTTTGCAAATTCTCCCAAAACAAATTTTCATTCAAATGCAAATGTTTGTAAAAGTTGCAACCATTCTATCATCATTACTGCATTCTTTACTTATGAATGATGTTTTCTATCACATTCACATTAATTAAGAAATTGAATAAGTTTGGATGCTTTTGTTTTGTTCCATCACATGAAGAATCCAAATCTGACGGGGAAGGCCAAACCGCAAATTGACAGCAAGATAAACACAAGGTGGCAAAACGAAGGTATTGATTACTCATGACTTATTATTTGATAAGAATTCTTATATTTTTCTTTGAGTAATATCATGAATTATTTCTTCCATAATTGTATTTCTTTGCCCTTTTACTTAAAATTTAGGATGAATGTTATGATGATTGGTACAACCTATGAAACAAAAAAAGTGGAACCCATATTGAGTTTTTTTTTTTTTTTCTAAACTCCCTTATATTTCATAACCTCTTATGTTTTTTTCGGATGTCAAATCCGTCCTTGGTGGTCTTTCAAGCGTAACTATTAAGCACGTAACAAGTTCAATGCTTGTATTGAGTTTTGGTCAATATGGTTACCAAATAAACCCAAATTTCTGTTCATAAACTTCATGTTTTTGCGTCAATGAGTGGGTATTACATTCTTCATAGCTTTAGAGATTAGAAAGTTGTAACTACATTTTATGAAGTGGTAATAAATTTTTTTCATATCGTAGTTTTTTTTCTTAAAGAGTGAATCTCAAAACAAGTCATCAACCTTTAATATATTTTTACTCTAGGTCATCAATTAAATTTATTTGTAACACAGGTTACCTTACTAAAGTTTTAATCCATTTTAGATTATTCTGTTAATTTTGACCGTTAAATAGTGACGGAAATTCATTTTTCACATGTTTTTGGGTTCAAGGGTATTTTTGTTATTTTCTTATTATTATTATTATTTTTTACAATTCTTCTTCTTATACTTCCTAACTTGAATATACTGGTAATATAATTCTAAATTTTAAAAATTTATTTTCCTTTTGTATTTTAATTTCTAGATTATAAAATTTTAAAAAAAAATTTAAGAAATGAAAAAAAAAATTCGAGTAAAAGTAAACATGAAAATTAATAATTTACCATTTTAAACAAAAATAAAAATTAAAATAATTAGCTAAGACAAGTTTTTTCTTCTAGGTTATTTAATTTTTTCAACTCGATTGAATTATTTAATTATTAATTTTCACGTTTCTTATTCTTTTTTTTAATAATCTACAAGTTAATATACAAATGACAAATTAATTTTTAAAAATAAATTTGTTTGTCATTTGTATCTTAACTTCTAGATTATAAAAAAAAAGAATAAGAAACGTGAAAATTAATAATTAAATAATTCAATCGAGTTGAAAAAAATTAAATAACCTAGAAGAAACAACTTGTCTTAGCTAATTCTTTTAGTTTTTCTTTTTATTTAAAATGGTAAATTATTAATTTTCATGTTTACTTTAACTCGATTTTTTCTTCTTCATTTCTTAAATTTTTTTAAAAAAAATTTATAATCTAGAAGTTAAAATACAAAAAGAAAATAAATTTTTAAAATTTAGAATTACACTACCAATGTATACAAGTTAGGAAGTATAAGAAGAAGAATTGTAAAAAAAAATTAAAAGATTAAAAAATATAAAATATAAAATGATAAAAATATCCCTAAACCCAAAAACATGTGAAAAATGGATTTCTGTCACTATTTAATGGTCAAAATTAACAGAATAATCTGAAATAGATTAAAACTTTAGTAAGGTAACCTGTGTTACAAATAAATTTAATTGATGACCTAGAGTGAAAATATATTAAAGGTTGATAACTTGTTTTAAGGTTCATTCTTTCTTAAAATAAGAAATTTTTCTTTTTAATTCCATTGCCAGTTATAAACTTATAATTACTATGAGCAATATAATTTATGTACATGTATATTAATACGATGATGTAATTGTCTTTGAAAATACAAATTAAAGAAAGATTTACTTTAAAGCGACAAAATAACATAATATGTCCGTTACATGTTTTTTTTTCTAAGTTTAAAATTGTTTAGATAGGAACAAAATACATTTTTATTTACATATTTATTATTCTATTTAAAAAATGTTAGATGGAAACAAAAAAAAAAATTTATTACAATTTACCCATACAAAAGACATTATTTCATCATGTATCCGTGCGAATCCAAAACCTAGTTAGAATTTATAGAAATGAAATATGATTAATCTTAATATGAGATATTCAGTTGAATGCTGAAAGTTTTTTAATACTACGACATCAAGGGAGACTCCCTTGAGACAATGACGTCAAACAATCTAATATCTCTTACGTGATGAAAAAAATTCCCAAATGTGTAAATGTCAATTGCCAACGACTTGAATGGATTGGAGCAGGACATCAATTTTCACAGTGGAAAGATCTTATCAAACTTTAAGCTAGGAATCCCCCAAGTATCAACTATCTTGGGGGGTAAGAACGTTATCTCAAAACACAGATTTATTACTTGATTAACTTGTTCAAATAGATTGAAAACTAGAGGAAAAATTATCAAATTATTAATATGACCTTATGCACTGATAATATGAGTGTTCGGTATGTATCATGGAAGAAAATACAGTACTCCTTTCGTTTCATAATTATTGTTCAGTTTGAATTTTTATTTTTAGTTCAAATTGTACTAAAAGTGAAATCTCAAACCGGACAATAATTTTGGTACAGAGAGGGTAAAACATATTCTTTTCTCCTTTCAAATCATCACAAAAGCCAAAAGTCCTAGTGGATTCATCGATTCCACCTTTTTCTGGTAAACGAGCCAAAGAGATACTCCTACAGAACCATGAATCGAAAAGTGCTGGAAATGTATTATTAGAGGTCTGTGGTTACATATGGGAGGCAATCAACCGTGCAATATTTTGACAATACTTGCATACCTAGCTTTTGATAAGTAATAATGAATATTTCTTTCTTTTCAAAGATGGAGCTCTTAGCTCTTCTCAAAATGAATAACACATCCTGTAGTAGGATAGTGCAGAAGAATTAATGAAAATATCTCCGGGGTTTTTTTTTGGATATTCACTTAGTCACTCCTATTCCTTTTTTGCCTGTACTTCATATTTGGATCTTGGCATATATAAGGCCTTATTTAGTTTTTTTTTTTTTTACTTATGACTGAGTGTATATTTTTTGTCCCGTATTTCTTACCGAATGCAAAATTACTTTTCATCCCAAAAAAAAGAAAGAAGATGTTTTTATTCTATTCTCTCATGTCTCTAATATAAGACATTTTGATTTGTCATACGTTTAACCTAGTACGTATTTTTTTAATTGACTAAAAAATCTTTAAAATATTTCACAACAATCAAGATAATGCAAAGAATGTGAAAATATATTTTTAAATTTTTTCGTCAATTAAAAATACGTATTAGGTGAAATCTAAGATAAAATATAAAATACCTTATAACAATGACCAGAGGAGTATTCATCTATAATAGGAAATGGTAATCGTATGTTAATTTTATCTTGATTTCTTCATCTCCATGCTATGAAGCAATCAGGTACGTACGTACGTAGACCATGTACTAGAAGTCTAGAACTATTCTATTTTTCTTCTATCCTTTCCAATGTTATCGTTTTTCTCTTCTTGAATTTTAAATCTTTATCAATATTCCTCATTTCCTGTATCACTCTCCTCCAGCGGTTCCCCTTTACTTCTTTCTTCTATTTTTCATCCTCTTTATCTCTTTTTCCATTATGAATACGTCCTACTATCTGGTTGATAATTATGTACGTTTTTGGGGTTTTATCGTTAATTTTTCCCACCATAAATAATCAAATCAAACCTAAAATCGTTCTTAATATTTCCAGAGTTATCAAATCATGTCTTTGGCCTAAATCACAAAATGATGGAAATGACCAACATAACGGCCCAACCCCCAAAAGAAAAAAACAAAGAAAAAAAAAACAAAAAAGAGGGAGA